CCTTGATCAAAAGGACTGCCGCTTTAACGACCCGTGTCGAATCCCCGGCCGTATTTCGTGCCAGGTTCAGATTACAGCTCCGGATTCCCGCGGAAGAAGGTCTTCGAGCGACTCCACCGAGTTTTTTTTCTCTTTCCCCTCATTACTCTTAATATGCACCCTTTCTTCGACGCACGTGATGACTGGAAAGCGGGTGAATGGCTCAAATTTGCCAGTCGAACCAGAAAATGGTGGGAAATTTTCCGGTTCGCTTCACACCGTTGTGCGTGCGACTACGGCAACGAGAGGCCCCGGATCGAGTATAGTACCTGCTGAAATAACTTCCGGCCGTTTTGTAATTCCATTGCTAACTCTATCTCCGTTGATCCTTCCGGACAGCTTCCGGACTGCAGGAGACCCGAGCGAAAGGCTAACGGGCGAAATCCTCGCGAAACGAGATCATTTGGAAAGACGATCACGTCTTCACTCGCCACGGGAACTTCCACGGGGATTCCATTGAGCTTTAATAACAACTTCTCACCGTTTTCCCTCGATCGCCGGAGCCAATCCCGAAATGGTCGTTGACTCGAGCGGCTTCCGGAGGTTCACGTCCTTCTGACGAGCGGGGGATGACTGTCGTGCCTTCACAAGCCTCATTTCGCGTCGTCACGTCGCCGCGCATTCCATCCATCCCGCGGAGGGGATGCCCCCCTCGAGGTGTCATCTCGCGACGGTGTCATCTCGGTGTCATCTCGTCGTTCGCAGAGGAAATATCTGTTGGGAAACGAGGCAGTTTCCGGCTGGGGAACGTAACGAACCGAGTCCCAACGTTCGGCCGAGTCAGTCGTCGCAAGACCCCCCCCCTCTCCCCCCTTCCCCCCCACCCCGATGTCAGTAACGAGCGAGGGATCCATCATCATCACGTGCTCTTCTTCGGATGATCGTCCCAGCTTTCCCAGAACTTTTAGAGGGAAGAAAAACAGGGTCGGGGGTCGGGTAAATGCACGTCTGCCGTGCACGCCGTTTCGGCGTGAGGAAAGCCACGCTTCCGTCTTCGCAATCAAGGCTTCATTCTGTCTGACTGAGCACATGACGTCACTCACCATGGGAAATCTAGCGATATGAACGCTTCCCTCGACCATCCAATTATATTTAATTAGAACGGAGTGGGAGGTTTCAGACAGGTTTCGGGTACTAAACCCCGGAGCGTTGTTTTTTTTTGTACCAGGAAGAGCAATTTGCCAAAATTGATTTAATTATTACTCACCCCTCGTGAACAATAGGGAAGATTAGTATCATTACTACAACTGCTAAGTTCGTTAGGCTCTTACTGCTCCCCTTTTATGATAATTTTTGTCGCTGCCTCGGGTGCCATGGTACCACGGTGCCACGATTCTAAATGCGGTGTTCGTTCTCGTAACCAGGATGCATACAGCGTAGGCAGCGACTGGAGGATTTCCTCGAAGTTCTTTGCAGTCAGCGACTATGTGCCCCGGATTCCGGAATTTAGGTCTATATTCAGCGCTCGGCTTTGTTCATGGCAATGGCTCTTTGTGTCCTGTTAATGCATATAGTGGTAGCAGCACGACACTAAAAAAAAAAGGAAGAAAGGAAGCTCGAACATGTTCATGAAAAAACATTCGAAAATGCCCAGGAGGCATCCCTGGAAAGAAAAAAATGTACAGGGACTCTTAACCATTCCAAGAGAATGCCAGGAAAGATGGAAGAGGTCTGTCAAGTAGCTTGCCCCTGCATTCATAAATGGACATGTCTGGTGTTTGCGGTTTACAACGCAGATGAAGGCACGCTTCTCGACGGCATCTGGGGAACGTCACCGCGAGAAGCTGCGAACGAGATATCCAGAATTCGAGAATCCCCTGGAAGTACCGGTAGACTGACAACAAAAGCAGGAAAAAGGGGGAGGAGCAGAGGACTGCCCCCTCGCCGTATTTTCAAGTCCCTCCTCGTTGCGCGCGCCGTGCCCCATCCGGCCCGTGCAGGGCCCTAGCGGTAAAGCGTGAAGTCTCCCGGGGCACTCTCAGTCAGCCCTCCTCTCTTCTCTCTCCCTCCCTTGCCATGCTTGCCACTCGCGCTCAGTAACGAGTTTGCTAAGCTAGCCTTCAGGCGTGCACCTGTGTGCCTCCTACCAGTGTGGGCGTGTGTTTGCATGTGCCGAGAACTTCTTTTATATTCAACCTTTTATTCCCTTATCATGAATGATGAGCTTCGAGTTGGATCCCACGCACCTCCTAGTCGAAGTGAAGCTACTGAAGACGACCACCACCTCGAAACTTTGTGCCGGTCTTAAGCCTAAGTAAAGTCGACGTGTAGACTACGAAGGATGTGATCGCCCCTTAGGTCGAAGAGGCTACTGTGTTCTAGCGGTTAGAGCGGCGATAATTTTCGGCAATGGTCAACGCTTCGGTTGAAGCGAGGAATGCGCTGCTGCCGTGAGAAAGGGAACGCAAGGGCAGGGAAACACTCTTCGCCTCTTTTTCTTGCGTGGGCACGTTCCTCTGCGAATGACACTTTCCTTTCGTTGAAATATAACACCGTTTTGCGGCGGGGGGAAAAAAACTCGGTGAAGCAGGATGTGAGTCAGTATGACGTGAAGTAATATATTTCCTGGAAGCAACGACGCGGTTTGATGAGGCTCTAACTGCCAGAATCGTGAATAGGCCTGCAGGGAATCTTCGCATGGACGCCAATTCGGCCCAAGGTCGAATGTGATATTCTTGACCTTGCCACGTGCCGGCAGCATCGACACGATGCACGATCCGGTGATTGAATCGCATCAGGCGCCCTTACCATCAAGCCGATTCCTGTTTTCGCTAATGACGCGTCGCTCAAGGCCTACCGACTAGAGCCAATGGTTAGTGAGTGCCGCAATGATTCATATGGTTTACAGCCGCTGATAGGCACAAGAGATAACGGTGCTGTACTGGTTTCTGGCTCGGATGCAGTTGGTAACGCATTCCGATGCTATTTCCTGTTTCGAGAGTCGTTCTCAAATTCCAAGGTTTCTCTGCAAATGCGTTCATGTTACCGCACCTTCTGCATTCCACCCCCGTGTCGAAGGAAGTTGGCTGTCGGGGCGTTGAGGAATGCCCTCATCCGTCTAGGAGTGACTTTCACCATGCATTTCGAATGGCGATATTTCTTCTTTTTTTTGGGGGGGGGTCTACTCTTTGTTGCTAGTTAGAGCATCGACAAAGACGAGACGTTGCATCCCGATTTGCCCAAAGTCATGACTCTTAAAAGCGCCTAAATAGCTTTGGATGGACGTGACTACCGGCGTCGTGTCTCGTTTCAATTTTATTGCCCTTGCGTGCGCGTGATAAACCAACTCTCCCCCGTTTTCTGTCAGGACCAGCAATATCCGGACCACATCTCTCTTTGTTGTCGCGTGTCGTGGCCTCTGCTCTCGTCGAGCTGCAAAGATGACAAATGCATGCGAAATCACACCAGGGGGTAAGGGGGGAACGGAGTGGACTGACCCTGCTCCTTCGTGTGATTGCTTTCTGCCTCAGCAGGTGTCGCCGAAGAAAGCAGGTCTCGGTGTCTTTCGATAGTCTCCAACCGTCTTTTTTTCCCCACTGGAGAGGCTAAACCGGTTTAGACTATATCTAGAGGAATCCCATTTCTACGGAAGGTCTGCGGAGCGACACCATTGTAATCGTATTGCCTATATAGGGAACGTGCGACCTGAAGCTTGAACGATAATGCACCGCGACCAGGTACCGTTATTTTGTTTACCAGTACCATATTAGACGGGTTTTCGATTCACGTGTCATGGATCAGGAAAATCTCATTACTCTGTTCGTGTAGAATCCGTATTACTAGGTGTGTATGGATGCGACCTGCTTTCGTCAAGGAAGTTCGATAGTCACTTGTCTTTGTTCCTTGGTCTTCGAATGTGTATGACTCAGGTTGATGAGCGAAGCGTGCTGCTGAAAACTGGGGGAGACGGAGAGAAAGGCAATTGCACTGTGATTTAGGTCACTTCCAGGAATATATCGTCGGAGTTTTTCTAATGTAAGGTTGGGGCTTGTGGAGTGTGTGTGTGTGTGTATGCATGCATGCATGCATGTATGTACAGGTGGCTGAGGTGCACGGAGACCTATTGATTCTAAAGCTTCCCTAGCTCCCCCGTTCGGTCTACGGTAGTTTACATCCTTCAGAATCGTGGCACGCTCCGCATTGTCGTGCAATACCCCATGCTTCCTTCTTCACCCTCGAGCAGGAAGGAAAGAAAGACGGTTGGAGACTATCGAAAGACACCGAGACCTGCTTTCTTCGGCGACACCTGCTGAGGCAGAAAGCAATCACACGAAGGAGCAGGGTCAGTCCACTAAAATCAAGAGTCTAAGCAAACACAATTGTGTACACAAGTCGAATCAGCGGTCGCATGAAGGAAAATAGCAATTACGCCCATCGTCTCATCTCATCTCATCATCCGCAGCGCTGAAGCGAAGGAATAGAATTTTCGAGCAGAAAAATTTTCATTTTAGGTTTCATCTTCTTTGGTCGTCCCCGGGGGGACCTTTTCTTCTAAAGCCCTGGAAATGGAAACATTTTCGGATCGTATCAGTGGGATAAGTCTGAAATCTGATTTAATGTTGTTTTCTCCCTGAGTCAGACAAAATGAACTAAGGGCTTTCCGACGCATTTTGAATGAAGTAATCAACTTTTATAGGTTTATAGCGAGTCTCGTTTTCGTTCGTGACAGGAGGTTATGAATATGGATGCAAATATTTATGAGTTTCAAGGCATTTTTGCATGAACGCTTTTGCGATCAACAATTTAATATGCTGCTATTTTAAAGTTTAATCTTATTTACTGCCTGCAATAGATTCGAGCTTAGATTGCTTTTCATTGACATGCAACATCTCTCTCGCACGTGGCACTTAAAGGGCAAGAGTAAGGGCAAGGAAGCGTGGGTCGTGCTTTTACTTTGAGAGATTGATCCCTAATCCTCCACGGATTGCATTGGCTGTCTGACATTTCCTCATTCCTGCAGGGCGGATTATTATCGCAAGGGAGGGAAAGCCATGCTCCCCGTCAAGTGGATGCCTCCCGAGGCTTTCCTAGATGGCATTTTCACCTCCAAAACGGATGTTTGGTAAGATTTTTTTAAATTTCGTTTCTTCGGTTCCGTGCTAACGAATTGCGAGATGGTCTCGTTCCTGGAAATTCCTGGAATTTCTTCCGAAATTCCGGGAAAGAAAATTAAATTATTAAAATTAGATTCGATGTCGTACTACCTGGATCATCCTGGATCATTCACGGGAACTTGAGCCGTAGTGCGTATTTCATTAAGCCGAGTTTCCCCATCGGTGCTTCAGGTCCTTCGGGGTCCTCCTGTGGGAGGTGATGTCCCTGGGCTACATGCCCTACCCGGGCCGGGGGAACCAGGAGGTGATGGAGCTGGTGACGCGGGGAGGCAGGCTGGAGGCGCCGAAGGGATGTCCCCTCCCGGTCTATCGGCTCATGCAGCAGTGCTGGCACGCGGTGTCGGAGAGGCGGCCCGGGTTCGCCAGCATCATCGAGTCTCTCAAGCATTGTATCCAGGTCTGTCGAATTAATATATATATATATATATGAATATGAAAATGGGTCGTTCTGAGAATTTTTCTGGGGTTTGCTCGGAAACGAGCATTATCATGCAAATGTCATTCAAAGTCCTTGATCCGTGCGCTCTTTCTTCCTTTCTCCATTCTTTGCCGTGCTGGGGGAAAATCCCTTAATTTTGAATAGCTCCGGTATTTAGCTTTCCACTGGCATGCAATTTCCTGTCATCGCAGAATGGGAAGACGAGCAATCACGGAAAAAGGATGAAATGTACTTGCTTCATCAGCCACAGGGAGTGGGAGGGGGGGGGGGGGGGGGGGGGGGGGGGAAGGAAAGAAAGACGGAGGGAATGGGATGGGGAGGAAGAGCGAGAGACATTCATTCGTCCCGTAGCTATGTGACACAAGCATGAGCCGTTATTGTTCTCCATATATCCGTACCTTATCTGTGTGCCTGACGTCATTTGGTAAACACGCCGGTCTCGACTCTTAGCACTGGCGTCTGTCGCCCACTAGGCCTATGCTTTTAGGTGCGACTTGCGAGTCACGCTCGCTCTCCATTACCTGGCTCCTGAACGTGATTTTTCTTTTTTCTTTTCCAGTGCCTTCACTCGCTCCCTGTAGGGAGGAAAGTGTCTCCTTGCTGTTACGTGCAAGTGTCGTGAACTGAGTATTAATGCAGGTGCTTCCATGAGTTTGCTGTGATAGTGTTACTCGATATTGGACCATGTTGAGACAGATATGGACGTTATCCCTCTTCCTTGGTTCAGGTGAGTTCTCACCCGATCACCCGTGTATCGGTTCGATTGTATTGTGTACATCATTGGAGGCAATCCTTCGAGCTACGATGAGGTTTTATGGGGGCTGTCGAGCTTGGAGAATAGCCACACTCGATATTCCCCATCCAGATTCCTTCAGAGGGAAGACAATTTATCGTGAAATTATGCGAGGAGATTTCACTTACTCCCTCACGCAAACTGCAGATTCCAGTCATGTCGGGCTATCTTCAGTTCGAAAAACGCCGTTGGCGACCCGATGTATCCCAGCGCCTATAACGTTTATAACTCGGTTTTTTGGCTCTAGCGGGGCAGGAAGAAAAATAGTACACAGAGTAAAGAGAAGGGGAATGAATTATCGCTTCATTCACGGCGCGTTGCGGATAGGATATACCGTGCATGGTTGGATTTGATGATATAATGGCGTTCATAATGGGATGGCGTGGTAAGTGGAGAGGATGACTACTATCATCACGTCGTAAAAAAGGTTCAAATGATTTCAGGAGGTCACACGCATGCCTTTCAAATTGAATTGGTGCCGCCTTTCCCCCTGGCTGGACGGATACCCGTGTAATGGAAGCTGCCGTGGAAGATAATGGCCCCCCATATACCCTTCCCAGTCGAGATGGGGCCTCGCGAATGCGAGGCGAGAGGACACAGTGGCAGCTCGACAGATGCCTGCGATATCTCTTGGAATGGGCATACCGTAAGGAGAGAGAATGAAAAGCGGAGAATATGAGAATGTTGCAAGTCATCTTCCCCCTCGGGTGCCTTGCGAAACCGGAACTGTTGACTCAGTACCCACCCTATAGAGGAGAAGCTTCGTTGCCTGTATGGAAGGAAATCAATCGGAGGAAATTCCAGCTCGACGTAAGGGACAAAGCAGGGCTATTGATGGAGGGAAGCCCACTTCTCTATCGCATGCTTAAATATTCACGCGCATGTAGGCAGAGTTGAGAATGGTCTATCCATATCATCAAGTGATTATGCATGGAGCACATTTCCATGATGATGGGTTCGGCCTAATCTCGAAGCTCATTGTATTGGCACGTGAGCTGATCCCTTGAGAGTGAGCGAGGGCGTACATGCTTTGGCCGCATTCAGCCATGTTTCTGGACGCAAATTTGCATTTGAATTAAGCTCGTAGATCCCACTAATCATGCTCTGAGAAAAAGTGCTTTGTTGGTACTCCTCCCATAGACTTGGGTCATAATGACAGCGTCATCATCATCGCAACGTGCCAACACATTTTCTGGTAGGGTCGAATTGAAAGATATTGTAATTTTCCCATCTATAATGAGGTTGCCAACTGTGGAAAATCTGGTGATGTGCTGGAAATACGGGAGGTTGGTTGGAAGTCTGTTGCGTGCACGCTGACAGGGGAGACCCCACGTCGGGCCCATTTGCACATGGGCCCCAGGAGGCGGCTTTTACAGCCTTTTATAGGCTAGGATGTGGAAAATGAGAAAATAATGCGCGGAAAACATAGAGAAATGGTTTCCCTTGGTGACAGGAAGTGAAATTGGTGTTTGTCTTCCGCCACCTCTTCTTCCTTATGCAAGAGGGAGAGCGGGGTTCTTCCACCGCACCTGCCATTCATTTCTCGTCTCAAATTGTGCTATTCTCTGGATTCTGAGGCATTCCACAACACTAGACTGCCCTGCCCCGGAACCTGGGGATATCCCCCCTTTCACCCAGTCGTGATGCTTCGGGGCGCATGTCATGAATCTTGCGCTGAAAGGGGGAGTCTTCGGATTAAGGGAAGGGTTGGTGAATGAGAGATGAAAAATATCAGACCATTGGGGTCGGAGCTGGGAAGCGAAGCGTCTTGAAATGCATGACAAAGAACTCGGGTGGGATACCGAGGGAGAAGAAAGAGGCGCGAGACCGTTGAAATGGAAGGCAAGGACAGGAGAAGTTCAAGTCGTGATGGAATGCATTCCCGTCTGGTCTACGACCCATGACGCCGAATGCACTCACTCGTTCACTCCCGCTCTTCATATTAGCCCTGTCTCTGTCTTCACGGGGATCAGGGGGGGAGATTGCTGGGGGAACTGTGGGCCATGTTCACCCCATGACGTCAATGTCGGGCACACGAGACGGAGGCACGTTCTCGGAATGGACTGCCGAGAGGGGAACATGAGGAAGTGGAACAAAGGCGAGTCTCGAGGATCATGAGTCATGTCATTCATGACCGATGTATTAGTTCCGCAATTCCAGATTCATGATTGTTTCCGATTAAGGCGGTGCAGATCGTGAGTTCATCCTCCTCCCGTGGCGTTCGCATTACTCCGCCCTTTATTCCCTCGGTAATGATTACGTTTTCATGAGATATCGCGGAAATGACGCCGAAGTTCATGCTTTCAGAGTGAGGCGCGCTCACGTTGGCGTGTTCACGGAGACCCCTTCCATACCAGACGAAAGCCGGTATTATAAGGCTATGTGCCCTTTTTTTTTTATCTGGCGTTCATGAGAGGAAGGTTTTCCCTCAGGGTCATTTCGCTCTTTCATCCTCAGAATGACAGGAATGGGAGGGTCTCCTTTTTTTCTGGCCTCCAGTCAAGTACGACAGGAGCTTTGTTTCGACCGGGGAGGATTCCCGGGTTTTTGGATCCTGCGGAAAGTTAACGGAAGTGTCACGCATGCCCTGGGAATTTTCAGTCCAACTGCACTTCGGACTCAGTTTATCATCCATTGTCTAGGGAATTATTTTTAATGGATCGGCCTGGGTCAGTCGAGGGCGAGGTTTGAGCGCCTGGGGCGCACTTCGCCGCAGGTGTCAGCCATCCCCCGGCGTTTTGACCAGGCCTAGGCTTTTTTTGGTCCCGGGAAATTTCCCAGCAATTCTCCATAGCAGAAACAAAGCCAGTGAAGGGATCCTTGGTCCGGGTATGTGGTACCTCGGCCATAGGATGAGAGCACCAGGACAGAACGGAAACAAGATTCTGTGTACTCGAGGTCTTGTGTTCTGTTGATGATGATGATGATAGTAATGACGCTGTTAATGGAGTGGAGATTCCTGCAGTGCATTCATCTGACAATGGATTGGTATGACTTGACATCCCCGAGATGCCTTATGTGCCAAGTGCTCTTTTTTCTGGGGGAAGAAAAGTTAGGGGCCCATTCACGACTGTGAATCCTCTACATGACAACATGCTTTCTAACCATCATTTCCATATACGCCAGGCCGACAACCGTTAGTACGTCATACCATTTTTCGCCTGTTTCCAGGTCTGGCATTCCCCATATGGCTATCTAGAAAAAGGAATGTATGTATTATGCACCAGAGCTGCTGTGATGCGATATCCCAGTTACATTCCCTCTCGAAAGGGTTGATGAAAACATAAACCCGGGGATTGTATTCATTACTTCATGTGCCCTATACACTGCGTGATACGTTATTAGATTAATAATACCATGGTACAGTTTGTCGAATCCCACATACTATTCATTCTCAACCCCCAGAAGCGATAGTGCTGTCGTTATGGGAAAGAGGGTCAAACGGGGTGATAAAAAAAAGAATCAAATCCCGGCTGAGACAGGAGGTTCGCAGACCCCTATAGAGTTGTGACGGATTTGTATGTCAAGTAGCCTAGCTGCCCGAGGCAGCCAGTCTATTGGCCGGCTAGACACTCGGCATAATGCAGATAAAGTCTCTAATCGACTTGGAGATTTTATTGTTGTTGCCGCCGGGGGAGAGGGAGAGAGAGGAAAACTGTATTGGTATTGGATTGTTTGGCTTCTTGATGCTCTCCTTGGACGGATACAATGTAATTGCCCTGCGGGAAATGCCTGTAATCTCGCATGCAATGGATTTAGTAGTCTAAAATGCTGCAACTTGAACCATCCAGTCCAGCAGCATTATGGCCACCCAGGTTGCCTAGAAGTGATCACAAAAAAGTCATCATCGGATGCCTTTCATCCCATTCTCGTCGTCATGGGATCGGGTGACCCTAACCACACCTTTCTCGCCAATGATAACAAAACAATCGAGGGTACCGTGACTTCAGTTTCTATTGAAAACTCTGTCCCAGTATTATGCATTATGGATTCTTTGTCACGGGAATTTAATGCCTGGCTGGAACAATAGACGATTGTCTGAGACACTGGGAGTATCCAGGGTATGAGGAGAAAAGAAAAGATTGTTCGGATGCTTGCCCGGAACGTAGAAACTTCTGCCTCGTTCCCCTCTTCTTACCTTCCTCTGTGACATGTGTAGCGCTTGCTGGTGTGTGCATTCATTGTACCAGGGTATCTATAAATGGGAATCCAAAGTGGGATCAGGTGCTGGCTGGGTCTCTGAGGGGAAAGTCTTACGTTGGCCACGTCATCATCGCACTTGTAACATCCATTGTTCCGAGTGCTCTATTGAACTCTGTGGGAATGTCCCTTGGCCGGTGACATTGTTTTCTTTTGTTGATGGTCTCGGAAAGCTCTCGGAATACAACTCATGCGTTCATGCTCCTTCCCCCTTCCATCAGAACAGTAGCTGTCTTCAGGACTGACTGCTTCTCCTTTCCCGTCTCTCCCTCCCCCTAGTCTTTTGTGACTTGTTTCTTTTGTCTGACTCTACAGGGCTCGTATCTCCCTTCTATAGTTTCCCCCCTCCCGAGGGGCTCCTTTTTTCTTACTATACCTCTGGGAAGCAGGATGTGTTCGTTTCCCATTTGTTTTCACTTTTTTTTTTCTCATTTCAGTTACCCTAGAAGGAAGTTTTCATTACCCAAGAAATCCATTACCGTCTCGTGCATCGTGCAGTTGATGACATGCATAGGCAGCCAGTCTTCTTGAGGGCAGCTCCAATCTAAAGCTTTATAATTTTCGAACTGCATTGATTTCCAGTCATTCTTTGTGCGTGGGCTGTGGACCCGCTTCTGTATCAGCTGTAGGCGGATAGATTATTTCGCCCCCTTTGTCCTTTCACGGCGGGGTATCAGGTGGGCTTGAATCGGAAATAGGCTCCACTTTTGAATGCCCCAGCCCCGGGGATTTCATCAATCCGACTATCGTGGTCCACGGATTAGTCTTACGTGCCTTTTAACTTCATGACGGGATCAGTCAGACTGCTTTCTAATGCCTCCCTTATCTTCCCTTCCTGGGCATTCGAATCGGCTTGGGGAATGGCCTTGGACCAGTTAGCTGGCGAGAGCTTGGGAAATTTGATGGGAACTACCGTGCCGCGCTCACACATGCCCCATGCAGTATGCCTCGAAGGATATAGAACGGAGATAGTAAACGTGCGGCTCCACTTGGATGATTGCATCAGTTATTCTTATGGACCAGAATGAGATGCATCACATTTTCGTCCCGAGACTCCATGGGGGTATTAAAAAAAAGCGATGGGAAGAAAAAAAAAATCACTTCCTGTGAGGCTCGTCCGTTGAGGCTGAGTGAAGCAATTACCGTGTCACCACTCGCCGATGACCTCGAGGGTCACGGCTCAACGCTCTTCACGGCCATTGTGGCCAGATTGAAGCCGGGTGGTCGGTTTAACCTGCGAAATTTGAAACTCCGATCCCTGTGCTTCCTTAGAAACATTTTCCCTCATACTTTCAATCTCGTATGATGACACAAACAAAAGGGGGGGAAGGGGGTTGCCGCCGCCGATTTCTGATGTATTTTTTATTAAATTTGTTTTGCAGTGTATCCATTGGAGGCTGGTTGGAACCCCAAGTCCCCTCTTCGGAAGAGGGATGTCTATTCAACAGCAGCACCTCATTTCGATAGCTCCCAATACGTGGTTGCACTCGAAGGTCCTCTGGAGGAAAACGATCATGTCCTCACGGTAAGTAATATCATAGGTTCGAGTAATGTCTCGCTACCTTAGACGCCATTCATAGTTGTGGAAATGCTGGCTTCTTTTTGCTTCCACTCGGACGCCCCAGTGCGGTGGCGAACGGTGTGGCTCCTGGCTCCTGTAGCTGGAGAGGAAAATATTAGGAAAGAGAGCGGAAGACACGAGCGAAAAACCGTAGTGAACTTGGAAGTATAGCATTACGAATAATCAAATTACAGGGTGAAACCACAGGACTGCAGGGGGGCTCATTTTTAAGCTCATCGTACCACTCTGCGCTGCGTTCCGTTTTGGTCTTGCATTTGTAATACGCCTGGCCTTGATCATGGTGTAGTTTCCATGATTAGAGGTTTCCGTCTTCAACAGTAAACTTCTCACACTCTTGTCTACTTTAATCCTGTCCTGGAACTGCTGCTAGATACTTGTGGTTATCTTGTTGCAAGTGCGGAAAACTTTTTTTTATTTGAAGGGCATAATAGGTCTCGGGTACCGCTACATGCAGCTAACAGGGCGATAATGAAGTGATTGATCGTATATTTCGTGTGAATTGCCTGCCTGCGGGACTCAGTACTACGGAACAGGGAAAAGTAGATCATACAATTATTGACGCGTTAACCCCAGGAGCCCATTGACTTCAGAGGGTAAGAAAAAAGAAGTAATTGTTCGCGCGTACACAAGTCATTAAGACTTGTATACCTGTATCACATTCATTAATAAAAGTTAATGCTCTCATGCTGGTTGGGGGGTTGTCTGCACTAGGAATAGAAAAGCTTAATTATGTATAAAAATTATGCCGTAATTGCCTTGCGCACTGCTCTGAAACTGCAGGTGGCTGCCTGAATGCTCACGACCACCCAGTTTTTTGTTTGCCCAGTTTGTTTGTTTTTTTTTCGAAGAGAATTTTGGAATTTCGGGTTTTTAGCACGTCAGGTATTCTGCGCTTTTTCAAATCTTGACAAAGTTCAGTGTCTGAAACAGGATGATTCGGATACCTCTTTCCTTGCATTCTCTTTCGAGAATCTCTCCTTTGCAGAGCACGATCAGGAACAGCAGATGAAATGTGTTATACTCGGAATGTGTAATACTCGCATTTCTCAGCAACATCATGAACGTTAGAAGGAAGCGCGAGCGTCATCTGTGGCCCTAAAGCAGAACATTTAAATGCTTTCACAGCAAGCACCGATAATCAAACGCCAAGTGGGTTTCGAGAACTAATTTTACTGATGGAAACCATTTCAGGTTAACGATGGTGACAGCACAATTGGCTTGATTGTCATGATAAATGGATGTCGCTACCATTGACGACAATTTATCGTCAGGATGGCGAATATTCAACTATACATTTGGCGACACCTTGTCACGCAAAAAAGCCTTAAGCTGGATTGCATAAAACTGACTTTAGCGGAATGGAGCTTTAAACTTCCATTAGCACTTCTAAAGGAGGTTTAAAGCTTTATTACGCTAAAGTCAGCTTTATGCAATCCACCATTGGCGTTTAAGTAGCCGTGAGGTGACACTGCTTGTAAAATAGAAAATACATGTACTAGTGCTTCATTGTATATCTGATACACGAAAAATAGAGTGTTTTGAGGTAGTGTGCGAAATTCGGTAGCGAAGGGAAAATCCTTGGACTACCCAATAAATATATTGAATTCTGAGAAGGTTCACGATTGACGCACTTAAAATGGGAATGTTCCAGCTGTTAAATTGTGTAACACTGCATTGTATGGTTGAGACAAGGGTACTGACTAAATCAAATCCTGATTCTACTACCTCACAGCCTACTAATGTTGATCACTTATCTGAGTTATTGTTGCTGGCTGCATACACAAAGCTATTGTTCTCCCATAGAAAATGATGGGGCATTTATTAAACTTTTGTGACTCAGTCCCTTGAGAGCTGCACTACTGCAGTCTAGGTGTAACCTGATATCCAAATCAAGAAGGCACCACTTTGGAGACACATTGAAGGCGATGACAGGCAATGGTGTGTGCACAAGTGGTGAGCAGGTCATCCTGAGCCTACAAAGCTGGAATCTTTGCTGCCTCAATGGCTAAGTTCATGAATGTGAATCCTCACACTGTTTGGAACATGCAGTTGAGGGCAAGTGTATGAGTAAGGAAAGAGAGTGGATAGAAGAAGGTAATGAAAAAGTTGATCAAGTTGGATTAAAAATCGATCATGCACTTATTTTTCTTTGACTTCAATATAAACAAAAATAAGCACTGACAGGTTTCTAGCAATGGAGATCAATACAATAACTTGTTGGTCTATAAAGTGGAAGAGATGGTTCAGATTGTCACCATCTGAATTCAGTTAATGTATTGTCTTGTAGTTCCTCAAGTTCCACTTTTGACATTTAAGAAAGTTGTAAAATACACCAGAGCAATTGTCAATGGAATGGATTTCCAGCACAGAGAAACTTCAAAAGGATTTCAATTGTGAATCTCTTGTGCATAGCAAGACTGATGAGCTTGCTCTGTGGTGGTAGGTGTCAGCAGGAGATGAGGAAATGTCAGTGTCTTACTCCCTCGAAGACAAGTATCTTGGGATTCTGAGTTCAGGGCTCATCTATGCAAAGAGGAATCTGAACCCATATAATATTGGCTCTGAGCATCTCGTGACCGTGCATGCGAGGAGCTCCCAGGATCCCCATCTCAGTACCTCATGCTCCGTTAAACTGGTGATGGCTCATGGCTTTTGCTTTTGCTTTTGCTTTTGCTTCTCCTACACCTTCTGTCCTGGTTTTCCTCCTTTCCTTTGATATTTTGCTTGTGCTGTTCTTTTCATATATTGCATGTTTACTGCTTCACTGCCCTCTAGGTGAGTGCAGAAGTACAGACTTTTTGCTCACAATATAGATCTTGGGTACTGGCAGGCTGTATACCCTTTCTCATTGTGGAGAGATGGGGCAAGGTCACTTTTTATTATTGAATAAAATCAACAAAACAAAACTCTCAGAGACTTTAATCACTTCTAAAATTGGTGACTGGTGAAATTGATTAGTACTGGATTTTGTTTCTACCATGTATTTCTTGAATTCCAGAATTGTACTAAATACTAAAGAACATTGTACTGAGTGTCATTGTGAATGACACTCAGTGTACAATTTTCCTTGAAATCTGTTAGAAGTTGAAAGTAATGCATTCACCAACATGTAGTACTAACTAGCTAATGCCTGACTGATTGCTACGTATTAGAATAGGAATAAAAGTGAAGCAAGTTATTTCATGTGCTGAATGTGATAGTTGTGACATATCTTCACAGATATGGCCTCATGATCAGTCACGGGGTGGAGGATATTCCCCTCAAGCCTATGAGGTATTTGTCCCAGAGAAGGCAGAAGGTGGTGCCATGATAGCTAAAATAGAACCAGATGGAATTGGAGATGGAGTGACTTATCGATTTGAAAAGGACAATGAAGATAACAAACTAGTGAGTTTTTATGCCATTACTAGTTAAGCTTACTGGTTTCTTATAGATGTTTCTGAAAAAGAGGGATTCAAGAGTGTGCATATTAATGTAATACATTGCACACTACTCCAACATAAGTTATATTAGATGAAATGGTTATTTCCTGCTCTAATGATCCCTTTGATACAGCTCTCTTTATTGCACCCAATTTTGATTGGGGAATTAAGCCACATTGAAGTTTCCTGAACTTTCAGAGAGTCCAAGGGGCTTGCTTTTGGACTATATTATTGCTTGGCATTGGTGAATGACATGGTCACACTCAGTAACTATTTGCAGTCTATATACAGCATGAGTTGCAAAATTAATTTGAAATTTGAAATTTCACATTATTTTATGAAGATCAGGATCCTTTCCTTTATGTTGCCAATAAATTGAAGCCTATAAAAAGTCTCCTACCAATGGATTGTATCTGACATTCCACTCTATGGTATAGTTTATCCAGGTGTTAGGGAGCAGGTGGATCTTTGGACACCCTTTGTGGGTATCCAAAGATCCACCTGATTTTTTGCTATCACATTTGAAATTTGATATCTCAGTAAAGAGATGCAATAAAATCATGAAACTTTCAGGGCTACTGGATCAAGACATAATCTAATGAATGATTAGCTTTAAATTATTTTATCAAATTGATAAGATCTTGATTTCAGAGGTTTTGGTAGAATCAGTTTTTCAACCTGATAAGAGGGCATTGTGATATTGAATATATTGACTCATTGAATATTTTGGGAAAAGTTATTTTACATTGTGGTCAATTTTCATCAAGATTGATTGCCTCAGAGACATGAGCATTCAAAGATGTACAATTTAGATGAAATGCCCTGTAGAAATCTTTGAAAGGCTTTCCCCTAATAGAAATCATTTTGAAGCTGTTCAATGATTAGGCTTTCAGACAATATCTCAGTCATGTTTTAATGTTTTTCAAGGTAGAGAAGGATTGTTTGCTACATGTCTCATGAAACTAACTGAGGAAATTCTAAATTCATAATTTTTTTACATCTCATTGAAACACTACAAAATTTGTGTAGTAACATGGCTTTTTTCACACATGATGGGGATGCAATTTCAGCACTGCTTCAAAGATTTCTCTCCTTGGATGCTATAAGGGCTGTTTTTATTTTGTTTCATATTCATGACATATCATATCATCATCATATTCATGATCATGTAGTGTTTTTAGGCCTTGGGTGAGAAGGTAAGGTGGCGTGTTCAAAATGTAAGGATGGAGAGGGAAGAGAAAAGTGAGAATCTCCTATCAATTTATGGACTTAATTTTGAGGAGTCTCTACCTTCTCCAGTTTTAAAAACAACCCTTTAACACAGTGAGTTTTCCTTTGAAAGATGTGATATGATGACACTGCATGGTTAAAGGACATTGCTGGCCACTTAGCTTTTATCAGAATTTCTGAGGGGATGGAAAATTGATACTAAAGTTACTTACCTATTTTTCCCTCTGCATTTGAGTCTAAAAACAAGGGTGAATTGTGAAGGTGGAGGCCATGACAGCAGATGAATAAATCTGGAATTCTTTATGCACATTAAGGAATTACTTTTCCCCCTCATTTTATTTGAATTTGAGGAAGTGGAGGTAATTGGTAGTTGACTCATTCTTACTTCAAGCAAGTGGACTGGGCCTTTTTTGGTTGAGTATTCTCAAATCCTGTTTCAAGGGAAAGCATAGCCAGGGCTGGTGTAGCCCATCTTAAACTTGAGTTTTGATGTGCACTGGGTGTTGTGAAACCTTATCCCTAATCCCATTGAGCAAATCTCAGTGATGTGAAACAATCAGACTTTATTTCTGAGTTAAGTATTCATTCTACATTTACGTCCTTAATCTCAGGATCGCGTGTGCCCACCACCAGCCTAGGTGGTGGCATGAAGTGTCACTTGATCAACATTTTTTTGTAATTATGGATGTAATACTTGTTGAACTTGGTCAAAAAATTCCTCTGACCTGAGGAATTCATGTCTGGGAAAACATACACATGTTAAGGATCAAGTAGAAGAACTGACACTCCATGGTCCTCCCAGGCAGCAGTTTTAAGATTATTTCTTTTTTAAACTTGTTGAAATATTTATTCAATCTTTCAGGTTTGACAGCAAATTCTACCTGAATTTTCTGCACTCCTACACATCTCACTTTAAATTTAGATGTAAAATTGCTTGCTTGATTCAGAATTAAACCCTATTTTATTCCACCATCTGCTCCACCAGTTCTGCTATTGGGAGATGCGAGGTTTTTCTGGCACCCCATACTTGAAAAATCTATTTTAAAAAATCAATGAAATGCTCTGCACCACAACATGGAGGTAGGAATGTGGAAGCTCCAAAGAGGAGGGAAAAGCCTGGGATTCATGCTTCTGCAGTTTTCTTGAAAAACTTGCTTTTCTTTGTGACTGAAATTAGAATAATCAGATAGGCCTGAATGATATTTGGATACCTTTAGGGCATCCAGTTAAGAAATTCTTGTCTCTTTTCTTCCCTCTTCCATTAATGAAATCCAGGCTATACTCTAATTTGGCCATGGAATGATGGTCATTAATAGTCTGGTTGACAAACCCAATGCTTTTTGCCTAGGGGAACTCGACTGAAAAGGGTGATGCAGCTATATAAGTTGCATCGTTCAGCAGAAAGGTTGGGACTAACATATAAGGTAGCTACTCCAATGGCATTCTTTTGAATCATTATTTTTGCCATAAGTATTTAAAAAAAGCACAAAAGCCATTGTCTTGGCATTTGTACTTGAGTTCATTCCTGGCATGTGGCCATATGATATTTTACCATGTACTCATGCCTGAACTGCTAAGAAGCATTTGTCTCAAAGGGAAGTGTGAATATTTACCATGCATCTAGGACCAAATTTGTGTTTTTTGTTTAGGATTTTATATAGTTGAGGTGTTGAATATGATGGCTTAGATTGGGAATTGTTGTTGCAGTTTCAGGTAGATCGATCTACTGGCATAGTGCGACTGCAGCCCAGTGTGCGTGGATCAGACCTGAAGAATACTGGCACCTACTCTCTGCCAGTGATTGCTGAGTCTCGCTCTGGTGAATTCAAAGTCACTCAACTACAGATCCAACGCACCAATCGGAACCAGAAGCCTGAGATACTCAGATGTGACTCTTACAGGCCCAAAGTAAAAGAAAATCAATCTATTGGAACATTTGTTGTAGAGGTGAGTGGACCTTCTCACTTTTGTGACTGTGAATGTCTTGGTGTTTGTTGAGTTCCTAATCAATGTAATTTCAGTTGAACTGTACTGTGTACCAGTCTTCCACATTTTCAAAACTCTATCATCTCCCACAGATAAAGGCTCAGGATGTGGATACAGGGGACAATGGAAAACTGACATTCTCCATCATTGAACCACCTGGAAGTACAAGAAAAAATTTTGAAATTCGAACCAATCCTCAAAACAGCAGATCTGCCATCATCTCTACAGCAAGGGTAGGTTGTCACCTGGCCATTATAATCTGGTTTCTAAATTGCTAACAGATCTGAGTAGAGAACAAATTGCCTTATTAATCAACCACCTTCTCAACTGCAGAAGACAATGAGCAGAGCAACTTGTAAAGAGCTTGCATAATTTGTGCATTTTACCAATGCAAAAGCCCAAACACCAAAGAGTAGAGAATAGACAGTATTGAAATCTGACACAGCAGCAACAATTCTTCTTTACTCATGTAGGATGTCATAACATCTATGTCATGAACTCCAGAGCAGTCTCCGTAGAACTTAACTTACAGGTTTTATAAACCCAACTACAAGGGTCAAGGGTAGTGTAGAGCAGTCATGTTCATGTATTGTGACACCTAAGTAGATCTTTTTATTTTGCTCTTGCAACTTGCTGATTATGTGGAGCAGACCTAACCAGTTGAAGCAAAAAATTATTCTTTTGGTGGTAGTGGGGGGTGGGAAGGAAAAATGGGGAGGTATAAGTTGTATCAGAGTCATGGTAGGACCTACTTGTACTCTGTTTGCAATGCAGGCAGATAAGGAGGCTTGCATGACTGTTCAATAGACTGAGATAAGTTATCACTTCTGCTAGGGTGCAAAGGAGATACCATTTTTATATGCTGACTCTGGAACTCCTCATTCTTGTGTGCTACACTGAAAAACATGTAACAAAATGAAAACACATGGTTGAAGAAGAAAGGAAAAAAAGGCAGATTCTAGCAAAAAGTTGCATAACAGATAGGATTCTACCTGGTGTCAGTAAGTAGGCTAAGAACCCACTTGCAAATTGGAAAATCTGCTTCATGGAAAAAAAGTGCTGCCTTCCTGGAGAAGCAAATGAAAACCTGGGAAATGGTGTAGAAGAAAAACGTAGATATAGAATTAATAAGAAAGGAATTGGTGCTATGAGCACAATAATAAATTTTTCCTTTTCAAGTGGCAGTTCAATCTGATGCATCTTTAGATAATGCTTCTGAAACATTCTACTTTTTTATGTCTATGGATGTACTGCCTGTTTGAGTAAAACAGAAGGAAGTTACTCTGGAGTAGTGGTATTGTAAAAATACTGTTTATCAAAATAAAATAAATTTATTTTCAAATATATGAAAATCTGTTATGCTTGGTCTAGCAAGTCTATACTAATGAGTCACCAATTATGTCAGTTTATGGAGATAATCACTTCAAACATGTCATATATGAAGGACAAAAGGGAGAAGTGGTCTATCTGTGCAAAATTTCTTGATCCCCACATGTGAGGAGTGAACATTCCAGTGACTGTCTTAAAAATGAGGAAAACTGATATGCATTAAATAACAATTTCTTCCTTCCATGAATCCTAAAAACTTACCATCTTCAATAAAGGGGTATCAGGTATATTTGCACAAAACCAACTATTCATTTCTTGGACATGTTTTGTAGATAGACTACTTTTCATTTCAGTCCTTTAATTATGAGTGTGAAATATTCAAGCAAAGATAAAGCCAGACCCACTTCAGAAAAATCCAATTCATAGCCTAACCTGTTTCTCATGCACATTCAGCATATTATACTGGATTTCTTATGTATGAAAATATCCTGTCAATTCTTTTCCCAATTTTCTTAGTGAATATGGTTATCATCAAATTAATTGCCAAATGATCTGATTGACTTCATGTCTGCTTATAGAGCTGTGATTGGGATGTTTTTTATTTTGATACAGAGCTTTGACTGTGATGAGCCAACAAATGAGCGGAAATTTTCCATCCCAGTCTTGGTTACAGATGGAGGGACACCACCTCTGCAGGCCTTGTGCATAGTGGAGGTGGAAATAATTGATTTGAATGATAATGAGCCCCTCTTTGATAGAACGGTAAGAATTTATATTTAAAAAAGTAGTTGCTAGATATACAAGCTCCAGCACATTTGTAATTTAATTTTTTGTTGCTTCTTGACAGATGTATGATGATGTGAGAATTGCAAAAGATCATCCCACAAAAGACAGAGTGGTTGTAGTTTCTGCCACAGATCGAGATGCTTCTCGCAACAACAGTCTCATCACATTCCGTCTAGATGGCTACCCAGGACATGAGACTGATAAAGACAATTTTCGGATTGATTCTGTTACTGGAGTGATTTCTCTTCAGAATTCACTTATCAATGTATGGACAGACATTCATTCTCTGATCTTCTAGTCATACTTCTCATGGAAAGAGAGATTAACTTAAATAATTAATTCTATCCCTCTCACCATAGATACCTGTTGGAAGAGAACTTAGATTCCAGGCAGTAGCTGAAGATAGCGGAACTCCATCTCGGAAAAGTTATGTTGACGTCATTGTGACTGTGGCTCAAGCTTCCATTCAGCCACCTCAGTGGGTTGAATTTCCTGATGGTCCCATTTGGGTGCCTGAGGTCTCTCATGCTGGTCATGTCCTCACAGACAAATTACGGTAAGCCTTTGCTGTTAGAATCTTCTATGCTCAAGATGTAGGGTTTACATAATTCGATTGTCATATTGTGGTTTCTTCAAGTGCGGTGATATCTGGTGGCACTGGTCAAGTATTGTATGGACTGCATCAAGGTACAGCTGAGCGAACGAATGCCAACCGGACATTCTATCATGAGGTTGAAGGTGGACGTATGAAGCTGAAATTATCGGCTGGTCTTGATTATGAGCGCATTACCAAATATGAGCTAACTGTGACTGCACAGGTCTGTGAAATTTCTTTGAATATGTTATTCACCCATTGACATTTAGGAGCTACAAATTTCCTAGCTGAATTTTTGTTGTGTCTGTTTTCCAATTCATTGTGCAAAGCTCATGAGAGTTATGGATTCTATACTTGGTTTTACTTTTGGGATTATGAGTGATACATTTATGGAGAAATCTTCAAGTTCAGCATCACAATGAAAGCAAAATTAGATATTGCCTTCTTCCCAATTGTAAATACATTGCCACCAATGTAGCTGGGGAGTTACGATTTTTTATTGGCCAAGTGGACCAAGGTCATGCAAATGCAAGATCTTTATTCTTTGGGAATTAAATGTAGATTATATATAGTGGTGTATGTAGATAATTGGTTCTCTATCTTTGTCATCACAAATTGCTTCAATTTCTATAAAATTGTTGTCTACAGGCAGATCCATGACTTTAATCACTTGCCTCCCCTCTCCCCCAAAAATTTCCCCACCTCCCTCCTGTCATTTCATTGCATTCCTCTGAAGAGGCAATTGTAGGCACAGAACAAGGAAATCATAGATTGTTATTTGCTCTAAAATTGAAAATTTCATTGCTAAAATTCTTGTAATCTCCTATTTTGTGTTCTGGAGTGACAAAATGCCAATGAGGGACCAACATTTGACTACAGATTGGCAGTAGAGAAACACTGGTATAGATGATAGACACATGCAATGTTCCTCTTTTCCCAAGGACTCATCAAATCGTCTTGTGTCAGAAGGGAACTTGATAGTACTGGTCAGAGATGAAAATGACATGCGACCAATATTTGGCGACTTCAAGCTGGCACAGGTAACAGAAGGCGAGCCAAAGGGTACTGAAGTGGTCACTGTCTTTGCTCATGATGGAGATGCTTCTCCTGAATTCAGCAGGGTTTGTTTTTTTCTTCTTATTTGGCCCATTTCTTTAGAGCTCTCCCCTCTGGTTACTTACTTCACTTTGAATGGTTTCAGGTTGAATATCAATGGGTTGATCCAAATGAACCAAACAACCAATACTTCTTATTGGATAAGGAATCAGGACGTGTGACAACAGCTGCTGTGTTTGATCGAGAAGGAACTCTGGGCAACAGTTTTGTTCTCAACATTCTTGCTCATGATCGTGTTGCATCTGCTGACCCTCTTGCTCGTGGTGCACCCAATAACAGTGAGTAGTCCTTGTATCTATCCCTTGTTGAGTTATCCCCTTTGCCATGTATTGACAAAGAGATTGGACTTATGCCGTTTTGATTCTTTAGTGTCCTTACAATTACTGGTGGATATTGCTGATGTGAATGACAACTCTCCAAGATTCACTGGGTTGCCCTACGAGAGTGAGATCTCAGAAGATGCCAAGGAAAATAGCTTGGTTATTAAAATCAGTGCTCTTGATGCTGATGCAAGTAAGGGATTAATGCTATCTCTCTTTTCATTTGTAGGCTTCCCTCTTGTCTCTTTTAAATAATGACACTGCCTTGATCCTGACTGAATCCATGTATTATTACTGTTGTTTTTAGCATCTGAGATAACGTATCGCATTATTGGAGGTGATGAAGAAGGCAATTTCAGAATTGATGAGAGGTTTGGTGAAATCAGAATCAACAAGCCACTGGATTATGAAAAAGTGAAGAAGGTATGCAAAATCTAATGCTTGAAGTTCCTTCTTATTTTATGTTCACACATACATTTCAGAAAGATTTGATTACATAAATCATCATGTATCATTGGGACACCATTAATACCTATTCTGTTGAAACCTTTCAGTATCCTTGTTTCACATGATCTCTTATATTTCACATTATAATGGAACAAATTTTCTGGTATGAACTGGGCTTAATTGCTAAATTCTACAATCTTGGTTGTACAGTATGAACTGGTGGTGATTGCTGATGATCAAGTGAATCAGCCAACTGCAATTGTTTTGGTTGATGTGACAAATGTGAATGACATTGCTCCTGTCTTTGAGAAGCCTCTTTATGAAGTTCGTAACATTTCGGAGGATGATCCAAACTCAGTGGGGAAAGTCCTCACCACTGTGAGTAGCAGTATTTTGTTTCTACCCCTCATTTACTGTAGCCTGGTTGTGATGCACCTGCTAAAATGATATAAAATGCCTGTGTCGTGGCAGGTGAGAGCCATTGATAATGAGGGAGACAACATCACTTATTTTCTTGATGACCCATGGAGTGACATTATTCAGTTGGATCGCAACCGAGATGGAAGTGCCTCGCTGATTTTGAAGAAGGTCAGTTCTTGTTTGATATCAGGCCTTGAGTTTCATTTAAGTCATTTGAAGGGTTCTTAGGTGTTGAGTTTAATTTCTTAGCATAATTTACTTTGCAATGGAACAAAAAATAAGGCATTCACTTTTTAACCCTTTGACCACTGAGTTTCAAAGTGTGTGGCACCAGCCCCATCCAAGTTTAATGTTATCTGCAGCTCAAGGATTGTGGCATTACCTGCAACCTTCACAAGTATATTCAGACCTGGTGCCCAGGAAACAAAGTTTGAAAACAAGTATACTTGGACTTAGTGGTCAAAGGAATAATCCAGTACTACCACTTCAATGGTTCAGCCAGATGGAAGTTTAGTGAGGTAGCATGACAACTGACATTTCTAAATATTGTATCCCACTATTGAGTGCAGTTTCAAGACTGCACCCAAATACTTTTGCTGATTCCAAGTACTTCACATCATCTGTATTATTCCAATTCTTTCTTTTGTGGCACCTGAGTACAAGACCAGTTTTTACAGAGTGTCATCTATTGCACTCTCACTGGAAGAAACAAAATAGCATGATATTCATGTATAGTCAATGAATAAAGTCATGGAAGTTTTGTTGATATTTCTCCTCAGCCATTGGATCGAGATCCTCCAGCAGGACAAGATCCCTGGAAGGTGATTGTGTTTGCACATGACAATGATCCCACAAACCAATTGGTAAATTCCACATTTGTGGCAATCTACCTCGAAGACATCAATGATAATGCACCAACCTTGAATATGGTGAGTGAAGATCAGAAAAAAAAACTATTGGTAGTAGCTCTGACAGTAAAGATTGGATGCACTTGGATTCCTTTAGGAAGGTGATACAATAGTCTGGGAAACTAATAGGACAGCTAATTGTCCACACGCATGCCCGTATCCAGGACCAAATTGTGAGATCGCTGAACTGCGTGCTAGTGACAATGATGGTCCATCAAATGGATGCCCATTCTCATTTGAAATTAACCCAGATAGTGATGTCTTCAATATGTTTGGCATAAAACAAGGGAATACATTTCAGAATTGTGAGTCATCTCATATCTCTCCCAGCTGCAATTATAAACTTCTAAAGGTCTATTCATTTATCATGCTTGATTTTTCATTTTTCAGGTAGTGGGAAAGCAGCTGGAAATGTCTACATACTGTATGCAAATCAAGAATTTGATAGAGAGACTAGGGATCAGTATCTGATCCCTATTATTGTGAAGGACAATCCAGCAAGTGGATTGGACAAAAAGACAGGAACATCAACCTTGACAGTGATTGTAGGTGACTGTAATGATAGCCCCATGCATGATGGAGAATCATCTATTGTTGTCAATAACTACAAGGTAAGCAGACATCATAAAAAACTTAACTGATTCAGATAAATTGACAATTATTCAATGTCATTCCATATGGCAATCTCTTCTTGGTACAGGGAGAACTACCTTCAGGAACTGAGATTGGCAGGGTCTTTGTGGAAGATGAAGATGATTGGGATCTTCCAGACAAAACATTTTCTTGGGCTGGCACTGAAAACCAATATTTTATGCTTGATGAAGATAACGGCACCATCAGCATTATCAACACCGCAGCGGACAAGTCATATGAATTGAAATTTCAGGTGAGAATGCCTTTGCCAATAGGAACACAGAGGCTATCCTTTGAATCCAGAAGTCAAATCTCCAGAGACAGACTGTTGTATTTATCTGCTTGTCTCAGACTTGGCTATGGAAGGAATGCTGAGAGAGAAGAGTAAACTACTCATACTTGGGGTCTAAGCCCCTTGAAATAATTTTTTAGATGCAATTGTCTACCCTTGTAAATCCGGACGCCATGGGACCGAGATAAACAGCTTGTCCAGATTGTTGAAAACCCATCAGTGATCCCACGTTTTTCTTTCTTTTCCTGAAGAAAACTGTTGCCAGTGTATATCATGATGCCTTTATTTACTTCGTTTCTTCTTTGTGTGAATGGAAATCTGACTCAGTTATTCAGTCAAAGCAAAGAAATCCCAAATTTTATTTGTATTGATTCATGTAAGGAACACAAGAATTCTCTTTTCAGAGACAGTAGGACTCCACATTCCTTATTTTTTCCTGATGTTAGTGCATGTTTCGTGTAAGAAATGTCCCTCCGTCGTGGAAACGAGTGTGAAACACGTGCTTTCCCCCCAAACGAAGGACACCAGGCTGAGCAGCATCCTTTTGTTGTCTATCGTGGCACTTCATGATGTCTGGGACTACTGTTGACGATTCAAATCGCACACTAGGCCTTCCTCAACTTGCTTCTCACCCTTGTCTGAGAGCTTGAAAACATGTTACTTCTTGGGGTTCCAATGAAAAAGGCCAATGAGACTAACTAGAGAAGCAGGAGATCACCGATAAGAGCAAAAGCCTCGCTGAAGAGAGCTATTTGGGTTCAAGGAAGGGGTGGAGGTCGAAGAGGAAAGTTTTTTTTTTTTATTTCAGGGCCAGAGGGGGGGTGAAGAGTCTTGCATTTTATCTCTTTTGCTAGAAAGTCTGGATTAACGGGGAGAATAACCCTAAGGACTGAAGCATTTTTCGTATAGTCAGGGGCTACAGAATAACGGTGTTTGGTAATGGGAGGATCTATCTTTCAAACCTTTCTTCTACCCCGTCCAGTCGCATAATTCTCGACCTGAACGTATTCATCTGTGAGAGCAAGTAAAGGAATGAAATTGGGCATGCTTCCCCTCTCAACACAGAATCGCTCCAGCAAGTTTGAAGCTTCAATTCCCCATGGTTGCAGAGAACATTGTTTCTTGCTTTTTTGAAGATGTGATTTTCATTCCAGTCAACGCTCGATATAATGAACCTCCATGTAAAGAACTTTTCTTAGAACGAACTGAAGGAACAGGACTGTCCCTTCGAGTACGTTATATTGAGTGATGAACATCTATTTAACTAATTTTTCTTATAATGAATCCCAGAGCCTGTCCTTTTGAGTTCATAATATGGAGCATCGACTGTATTTTTTCTCCCCTCCCCCTGGGTAGCACCTCCTGGGTTATTTTCAGAAACAACCCAGGAGGGGTTACCAGTATTCCAACTATATTCCAGTATTTCAACTAAAAGAAAGATTGTAGATCACGAAAGTATTCTTTTTGTTGTTTGCAATGCATCAGTTTGCTATTTTTAAAAATCAAATTAGGTGTTCATTTAGGCTTAGTGTACAGTATCCAGTCCTGTCTTCAGTGTTGCTGGATATCGTGCTGGAGTTATAGCAGATTTATTTAGCAGGAGTTATAGGGTCTTAGTTTTTTTTCTTCCAATTTATGATAATTTTTTTGCTGAGCTCATGAGATGAGCTGAGACTGAAATTGTGGTTAGAAGTGACCAATTGATGCAGTGAGAAGAAAGGGGAAAAGCCTTTGGAAAAAAAAAATGGTTTTCACGCTACTTCATTTATTATAATTTCTATAGCTTTATTATTTATTATTTATTATTATTTATTATAATTTCTATTCATTCTACATGGCTGAAATAAGAAGAGCTTTGGATTACTGGCATTTGGAATAACAAAAGTTGACTGCACTAGTTGCACATCTTGATTTTGAGGTCCCAAAGTGTAACTCCAGTATCATTTCAAAATTCTGGAGTCTAACTTCAACTGAAGTTAAGCATTACACCATTCATGTGTATGGGAATGAGCTTTAATGGATAATATTAATATAATATAATCATAGACTGCCATTATGTATTCTGGTCAATTCAGGTTAAACTGATGGTACATATGGTTGTCACCCATTTTCTGCTTGAATAACTTCATCTGGAGGCATTTATCAATGTTCTCAGGTCAGAGATAAAAAACGAGATGAGACAGCCTTTGGAACAGTATATGTAGAAGTCAAGTTGATCCCTAAGGAAGCTGTCAGACAATCAGGTTCTTTGCGCATTCATGGTCTCAAGGAGGAAGACTTCATTGGCACATCAAAAGGGGTGAGCTCAGATTTCTGGTTGACTCCCATAATGGAAACCTGCTCTGGTATTGTTGCTGCTATTCATCCAGTAATTGTCATTCCTACTCACATGTGTCTTGATTTCCTATAGGGTCTTTCAATGATGAAGAAATTCCAGGATTTGGTTGCCAGTATCCATAATTATGAACCAAAAAATGTTGACATACTAACTGTGAGAACAAATGAAGCTGAAGCTTGGACAGATATTTGGTATGCAGTGCATGCCTCTCCATACATTTCTGGACAGTGGCTCAACTGGAAAATGGGAGAAAACATTAATCAGGTATCAGCATTTTCTCCATTCTTGGGAGTATTCCTTTATAATGACACTTCTTGAAACGGTAATTGATAGACAATGTTGTACTTTGACTGCAGCTGCAAAAAATATTGGAGCCAGCAGATCCTCTCATGTTGGGAATTGATGAATGTACTGATGAGACTGATGAGAAAATGTGTGACACTGGGAGCTGTATCACCATCTTGGAGGAGAAGCCGAAGGAGCCTTATCTTGTCTATTCAAACCGTTCAACCCTTGTGGCTGTAAACTTGGAGGCTAAGAGGTTGTGTGAATGTGTGAAACCTGAGAATATAGTATCACCCTGTGATGATGACCCCTGTTATAATGGAGGCACGTGCACACCACAGAATGGTGGATTCTTGTAAGTCTTCATTTAATGAGTTCAGACTTATTCTTTATTCTTTTTCTAAGAGAGCCAGGGTATCATTTCTTTCCTCTATTCCCTCAGATGTGAATGCCCTGCTGGATACTTTGGACCCCAGTGTCAACTGATGGATATATCCTTCCCTAAACCTGGCTATGCTCTCTACAATCATCTGACTGTCTGTGATAGCTCAGTCCTATCTTTGGAAGTATTGGCCTCATCTGAAGATGCTCTGGTTTTCTATAATGGACCTATTCGAAAAGGAAGGTTAAGTGATTCATCAGGTCTGTTTTGATTCATATATTCCTACAGATGGTTCCCCCAAGGGTTCAGAGGTTTTGAATTCACTGCTTTTTTATTCACAGATATGATAGCTCTACAGCTGGAAGGTGGTATTCCTCATCTGCTCATGTATTTGGGATCTGGAATGGTCTCTATCTCTGCTTCTGGCTTGTCCATTGTTGATGATAAATTTCATACGCTTGTTATCAAATGGTCCAATCTGGTTAGTACTCAACATGTATCTCTGTATGTCTTGAAATGTCATATTGTGCTAATGTCATGTCAGTGACCTTGTCAAAACATCAATGGGATGATTGCTGTAGAGGTGGATGATAGTAACCATTTGTGTCTCTAATGCAGAGTGTGGTCATGGAAGTGGATGGGAAATTCATTGATGAAGCCCGATTCCCAAATGGTTCCTCTCAGCTGAATGTCCATACCCCATTACAATTGGGAGGAGTTCATGAAAGCACAGATCAAGTTTTGAATGGCTTCCCCTGGAATCCTCGACCTATGGGTGGTCGCGATTTCCGAGGCTGCATTCGAAATCTCACCTGGAATAATGAGGTCTGCACCTTTAGCCCTGTATCTTTCTAATTTTGGGGGTACATTTGTGGTAACTTCTCTCTTTGCCATATAACAGATGGTGGATTTGGAAGGTGGTTATCATAGTTTGGAGGTCAATACTGGTTGTTTAGCTGACCCCCGGCAGTCAGCAACAGCAAGCATTGCAACTACAGCCAGCTTCTTTGGGGCATTGTTTGGTTGCCTAGCAGCTTTGCTATGTAAGAGACATGCTACAAGATGAAGAGAAATTTGCACTAATCCATAATAGCAGAGAACTAATCACAAATTAATTTTTTGGCAGTGCTTGTTGTGCTCTTGGTGTTCGTGAGACGACGTCGGGATGTCAGAGAGGTAGACATTCGAGATGGTCTCGGCAAGTATGATGAAGAAGGTGGAGGAGAGACTGACAATGCTGTCTTTGACCCCTCTGTCCTCAAAGTCTCTCTGATACCCAGGGCTGAAGATGGAAAAGTTAAATCAGGTGCTCCCCTTCCAAAGCGACCATCAGATGTTGGTAAGGGAATGGAAGTTCATTCTAAAAAATTATTTATTCATTCTTTCTTTCTTCAACTTCAACTATTCTCTAATTTCTTCACCTCCTAAGATACATCAGAGATAGGACCATTTTTGGAGCATCACAAGGGAGAGGTTGATAAAGAAGTGGGAATTGAAGATGATGTGAGACATTACGCTTACGAGGGTGAGGGTTCCACTGCAGGCTCCCTCTCATCTTTGTCATCAGGTGAGATACCTTATTTTTTTGACCATTCTCATTCCTATGAAATATAAATATGTCTTGGTATGAAAGAACTGCAAGCAGTCGAAGTCGCTTTGTATACTTGGGTTTCCAGCCAAGAATCTTTGGAATTACAGCTGGTCTATATGCAGTATCTGATTTTCATTGAAATGCTGCTCTTTGAAACATTTCCTATCAAATCGTAATTTACCTTTTGCAGTAATAGATTGATGAAAATTGATCAGAACTGTTTTAGGCAGAGTGGACTTCATAGTCAATGTAGCAGGCATGGCTGCAGAGACAGAGTGCTAAATTTGAAGGGATTATCTCATTATAAACTTCAATCAATCAATGAATCAATTGATTCATTCCTGCCCAATGTCTTATTCTCAGGCACACTGCAAAAATATTCATATTTGACTCATATATTTTCTTAGGTTCAGATGACCAAGTGCAAGATTTTGATTACCTCCAAACTTTGGGTCCACCATTCCAAAAATTGGCTGATCTCTATGGTGGCTCAGATCTGGAGTCAGATTCTAGTCTAAGTCCCCCAAATTCCCCTTCCCTTTCCTCAATCAACTCTGAAGACCGAAGAAGGGGCAAGCCGCCGCAACAAGGCATGGGCCTGCCAGGGGAATCCTGGTGTTGAGGAGGAAGAGGTCTCCTAGGAGACCTTCCTCACAGCTTCTAATGTGATATCCCTTCTCTCAAGCCCTGCATGCATGGTGCCTCCATGCACTGCTGCCTTTTTTCTATTGCATACTGTCCATAAGTGCTGTGACTCCATCATCAGAAGCAGCAGTGAGCTCCAATGGTGAAAGTGACCTGGAACATTCTTGAAAGCTGTTGTGGTATTTTGCCATTTAGGAAATGAAGCAAATCCTGATTATGCATTCCTTGTTGCAGTTGATCTCATATGGTCAAGATTTCTTCTTGTTTGTTTTTTTTTAATATTCATGTAGTCATCAGTGAATACAGCCAGGATAAATAGCACTAAGGCATATTCTGCAATGTTCTTCATGTGTTTGAAGAATAGTAGCACTAGTGGGACTGTTTTGTCATGGCATCTGACTGGACTTGTTAGCATGGTGTTGATGATGTGCAGAGAACCCTGGACCCATTTTGCTCCCTGTTTTCTTTTCTTACCCTTAGTTTTTTTCCTTCATTTTCCTGAACCGTACAGAAAATATCAAATGTATCCTCTGTGATAAATGTTCTGGAACACCCTTCCCAACCATGTTCATTCACTCATCTATATAGTGATATTCTACCTCTTTCTCTTGATCAAGATCCTCTCCTAACACAACCCCATTTTTCATATCTTTTTTTTCTGCTTAATAATGAATCTGCCAGTTTCTACATATGTATACATGCTGCAGGTATGACAACATTCCAACCCTTGCCTGCCCTTTCAACTGCTTGTGTCTTTGATGAACAGTATTGTTTGATGTGCATGGCTGACACAATTTGTGCATGTAAGTTCTAATTAGATTTTGGACCTGGTGAGCATATTTTTGAAAACTTGTCTGGTATTTATTATTTTGATTCTATTGCTGCATTCCTGTTTTGTTAAGTATCAGTACCTGGTTTTGGTTTCTAAGCCAATCCCAGAATGATTCATCTTAGTATTTTTATGCTACACTTTGTGCTCACTCCTGTCAGAATATTGAGACTGTGCAAGATTGATCTCATGGCTCTGGCTGAATGAAAATTGAAGTGATCAGGCTTTGGGTCCCTTATTGCAAAAGTTTTCACTTGTAGCAGTACCATCTGAAAGCTGTCAACATCCATGTATTGTATTGTAGCATGGATGGTCACCCTGTTTTATTTTTGTTATTCCAAGTCAACTAGTCAAAGGTTAAAAACAGCAGCATTTCATAAAACTTGCTGCATGAACCAAAGATTTAGGACATGAAGAAGTTCTGTCACTATAGCTGATAATGAAATATGTCTACAATGGAAAAATGCTGTTTTATAAGAAATCATCCAACATGGGTGACAATCAAATTTGACTTCAAGCCAGAATGACAGGAGGGGCTCACTAGGGGTACAGCATGGAATTATTCAGTGTTCAGGACAGCCTTCTTGTTTAAGTTCTTTTTTTTGTTGGAACAAGTGTTGTGATAGTGACAAATCGGCTCTCAATCACTTTTTTACATGATCGTTTTTTGATTCGTCGGATGACTTGTGACATATTCCCTGTTTGCCTCCATTCCCATTTCATGTGCCAATTGGGATGTCTTCCTTTGTCACCTTCCTAGAAAACATATTTAATAAATTGGATTCATTGAAGTTGGTGCTTTGTTTTGTTCAAACTTATCCAAATGCCAGCGTCCTTTTTTAATGATCATGTGTGTCTGTATTTTCATACCTATTCATGATTGCCAAACCTCTACATATACAGGGTGTCCATAAAAGAATGCAACAGTTTCTAAAATTAATAACTCAGTCAATAATGGATGAAATGTCGTAATTTTTGCATCAGAATGAAGAGGAAGACTAGGAGTTCATTTACAAACCTTAATAAGTCTCGATGTGAGCGCCATTCAAAGCTCGACAGTTTTTTGCGTAGACAATGTTTTTCACATATCCCCACTCAAAAAAAATCCAGCGGAATTAAATCTGGACTTCTTGGAGGCCAGGCGATTGGTCCACCTCGTCCAATCCACCGATTTGGAAATCTCTCGATGTCATCGACTTGGGGGAAGACAAATTGTTGTAGCAAATCAAGGTAATTATGCCCGGCGATCGTGCTTTCCGCTGAAAATTACGCTGTACCGTAATGAATGACTTCGTCTCCGCATACCAAAGCACGCATAGAGCCTTCTGCTGAACGGTGGCCATTGTACTGATGGGGGTGAGGCGCGCGCCAATTAGGAAATTCCCTTGCGCGCGCTTTTCAAGCTGCCAGCGACATCTATAACGGGATATAAATAAACTCCCAGTCTTCCCCTTCATTTCTATGCAAAGATCAATGCGTTTCATCCGTTACTTATCGAGTTATTAAATTTTGAAACTTGCATTCTTTTATGGACACCCTGTATTCACCAAGTTACGTCCAGAAGTGCTGCGAAATCCTGCATTGTTTACAAGTCCTTGCTGTGAAAGAACTTATCGATTGGCATGCAGAAGGACGATCTTCAGTTACTACTAACTCAAAGTAGATTTAACTCCTAGTAACTACTATACATATTTTTTTTGCCATAGCCCAATTAACTTTAGACCTTCCAAATCTTTGAAGCTTGGTGTCATTCAGATGGACGTCTATGTGAATTAAGATCTCAACCCTACTGCCATCGAAACATCTTGTACATGGGAAGTGAACAACTGAATGACTGCAGAGCTAAAAGTTTTGGAATTGCCGAGTCTTGAAGCAACTTTTCAAGTATGTACGCTGATTTTAGTTGAAGTTCCTTTCTTCCCAATTAGATTAAAATCAGGTCTTTATGGCTAATATGTGCGGGATTTTGCGTCCAATAGCGAATTTTTTTTACCTAACTTCCCTTTAATTAAACTTATCACGCATAACATTACATCACTAGCATCCTTCTCCAGCTAATAACGACCATGGAAAGGCCTGAAATCGAAACGTTCCTCTGACAGCTATCAAGTCTTCCTCTCCCCCCGCGCATTTGCACTTGTCGCTCACGTCTCCTGATTTTCTCTTCTGCAATTTCCTGATTGGTGTCGGTCGCTGAGACAGGCTTGCAGACGGGATCAGCAGAAACTAAAGGACGTCATCAAAACGAGCGAACGAAAGAAAACGTAGCAATTTTCTTTCAGTCTTAAACTAGTGACACCTTGCACGAAAGCTGCCAAGCTTTAGACGACACAAAAATAAAGTTTAAGCCAAATCGTGTCGATATTGCATCGATAGTGGATCATCAAGCGTTCCTTCATGCGAAATACGGGGTGGTTCCGTATGTTATGCATTTATACGAAATGCTTATCAATCCCAACAAGGGCACGTTCTTTGACCGCGTGGGCGGGATTCTGTAGAGATCAAGCGCATTTCATACTGGAACCACGACAATTTTAAACACGTTTTCTCGAGCTTTGATATTGCCCTTTTTTCTGCCCTTTTGACATTTTCCTACTATTCGTCAAAGTTTGCAATCGCAGGATGTTTTCTCCTTTTAACGGTAGAAGGGTCAGAGCTCACCCGAACAGTGTGCAAGAGGCAAATTCGTCCCTCACACCCCCCCCCCAAATTAAACTGGCAAAAACTTGTAGCTTCCAAACCACACCCGAAGGGTGACACCCGTAATGGTTAGCATTCTAAGTCCTAGATCCAGCGATTCAGGTTGAGACTCGGTGGGACCTTAGTCAAGCCAATGTTTCCCTTCGAGACCCAATGTTTTGCGATTTCACGCGGAAGTTGTTTCGTCCGTTGCAAGTCAGCTTATGGCAGGAGACAGACCACCATGCATTTTTGCAAATATGGCCAAAATGAGCGCAAAAAAAAAAGAGCGTCAAGTAAAGAGGTCCCACCGAGACTTGAACTCGGATCGCTGGATTCAGAGTCCAGTGTGCTGACCATTACACCATGGGACCGTCCTCGGGAAAACCTTTCTTAAGGGTGGGCCTTCGAGAAGTACCCAAGGAAGAAAACAGATTGACGTCATGAAGAAAAAAGAACGAAAGAATGTTATCACGACCTACTTGGATACAGCTCCTGGCTTCAGATCGTCAACCCCCGCCACCCATAGTGAGTTGCCTTTTACAAAATGCTCCCCAAATGCCCATCCGTTGGCTTTGGGGTCTCAAATCTCGGCAAACATCGGACGAACTGACTTGCTCCCGCACTCACATGTCACATCGGAACAGAACTTGAAATCGAATGCTCATGAATGGCTCTCGCATGCGTTCAGTTCCATTCCCATCATTCAATGAAATCATTTTTGAGAATGGAATTATGTCTCATATCTCAAGGAAGGTCCCATGGTGTAATGGTTAGCACGTTGGACTCTGAATCCAGCGATCCGAGTTCAAGTCTCGGTGGGACCTTGTCTTCATAACTTTTCTAATGTCCATTTTGCTTGGCATTCATTGGAGAATATCGAGGTGCCCTTTTTTTATGGTACACCTATGGTACACAGCCTATGGTACACCTCTCTACCACAGACCAAGAAGCAAATTTCCTCACACCAGCATGAAAAAAGGCAAAACTTCGGAGGAGAAAAAAATGTACAACCCTCAGGTCCCACCGAGATTTGAACTCGGATCGCTGGATTCAAAGTCCAAAGTGCTAACCATTACACCATGGGACCTTCCACAGACCTCAGTCCCAGGAACTACATACTAAAACGATACGGCTTCAAAGCAGCATCAGCAACATACGAAATGATTTTAAGTTCACTCAATTTGGTATTTGCAGCAAACGCCCAAAGCGATGCAACAACCGGCGAAACGAGGCGAAACCCACCTAAAACCACCGGAGCTCAGAGGCAAAATTTGAATTCGCCATGAATTCGCGATGGAGAGAACGGAAGAACGGAGCGCAAAAGGGGAGGAAGGAATTCCCCGGAAAATGTACGGGAAAACAGTCTCAAAGGAAACGCAATCGGAGAAAATCGAGTTTGGAATTTATTGGGACATTTGTGATCCCCGTGGCAGACGACGACTGGATTGCATACGCGCGGCATGCCCTGAAAGATGCATCGAACCAGAAGATCTGCCCCCCCTTCCCCCCCTTTTTTTTTCTTTCCAGGACTGTTTTTGAACCTCCGCGGGAGAAGAACCGAATCGCGGATTGCAGCCGCGCCCAATGCATAATTTTGTCATTTTTCCTTTCGACGATCTCTTCCCGCTTTCATCTCTCTTCCCAGAGTGATTTTTGCACCTGGGCGGAAAATTTCCCCCCCCCCCCCCCGAGATCATCTTTCGCTTGTCACTTTCTTAAATTGCATTTATTTGCATCATTTTGCGTATTTACGGCCAGCGGCCGTTTCCCAGGAATCTTTTTCGTCAGTTTCGCCAATCCGATTTTTTTTCCTTTTTTTTTTCCCCGGACGGATTTTTCTCCGCGAAATCGTTCGCGTACCTGATGTTAACGCGGCCGGAAACGAAATCCTTCCTCCGGAATCGAACGAGTAGAAGCAGAACCGACAAACCAGACGGGATTCCTCGCATTCGAGGCCAAATCTCAGATTAAACAGGATAATCCAACTTCTCTGGCACGACCTAACCTAAGAAAAACTTTTCAGAGCTCTTGCACCCTCAGCAAAGAGAGGAAGCCGCCTTTGGCCTTCACGCGTGAGCGTGAGCGTGAACCGTAAGTTTTAACATGTGTAGCGGAAAGGGTGGGCCAGGCATTATCGCGGGAATACCGTACCAAATGTTTCGAAAGCTCATTGTTGAGGAATTGTTTGGGAATTTCATCTTCACGGTCGCCATATTGCTAATTTGTTAATTTTTCGAAGACAAGCAAATAAATAGCGTGGTGTCCCGAAGCACTGGGGGGGGGGGGGGGGGGGGGGGGGGGGGGCCTTTGCAAATCAATCCAATTAATCCCCAGTTTACCCTGGATTGGAAAGGAAATGCCTGAACCCGATGATCTTTGAGCAACCCAATCCGGCGATCCAGTTTCCCCTGCCGAGTTCATTTCCTCCCGGGCGAATGCGATCCGCCAGCGGCGAGAACCGACCGACATTCGACCCACTCATTCGATCCGGCATTTGAACGGTGCCAGGAAGTCTATTGAAGGAAGTCAATTCCTGACCACCTTGGGAACGGGAAACAGTCTCTTGGAAGGGCGGAATCCGAATCATTTCAGGAAGTACTCCTTTCCCATGCCACAAATATTAATTAGCATGCAAATTGTGTTCCATTATCACCCGGTGATGGGGTTAGCTATTGCTATTACTGCATCCCTCAATGGCCATCCGATGGTTTCCCCAAAGGGAATCTCCAATGGATCCAAAAAAAACGGACATGTCCAAGGATTATCCTTATCCTTATCCTTATTGTGGGATGCAGTAACAGCAACAGCTAACCCCGTCTCCGGGTGGGAATGGAGTGGGTGGGAATTGGCATGCTAATTAATATTCGTAGCATGGGAGAGGAGTACTTTCTGAGATTATTAAGATTCCGCCCTTTCAAGTTCCAGAGAAAAAATAGAAGAAAAGCGTTTAGATGGAATCTAAGGTATCACTGAGATGTTACTCTCACCTTCCCATCCTTATCTCTCAATCAAGAGACTGTTTCCCGTTGTCAAAGGTGTCGTGATCCACATTAGAATGGAATGGACTTCCTTGGGAAGGGGAACCGCTCTCTCTCCATACAATGTGCAAGAATTGTCGGGAGTCTTCTTGAGCTATGTTACGTCTCTCAGCGAATGAACTGATTGGAAGCGAAACTGGCATGTGCTGACAGACGCCAGAAAAAAAGAAAGGGGAAACGGAAGCCTCTAGACAGGCCAGAAAGTCGACAGTTTTTGAGCTGTCCTGCTCTCCCTCGGCTCATCGGTTGGCTCGCTGGCTCTCCCTATTTCCATCATCCCTGGCATAAAGGTATATTCCGAAAATTTCCGTAATCTATCTGGACGATTCTGGAGGAAACCTTTGACTGCGAATGAGAGAAACCAACGCGACAGGCTTATTATTGGCGAGAACATCGATGAAGACTGCATGTCCTCGTCCGGATAGGAAAGGTAATGCACAGCTGTCTCAGTAGTCGAAGGAAATTACAGCCCTATCTTCCAGAAATCCGTACAATACGCAGGGGCGTCGTCATGGGCATTTAAGGCTTTGCATGGTGAGGAGTTATCATCTAAGAAACAACAAACGGTAGTCATGACACTTACACTTCTGGAAAGCATCATCTGAAAATTAACACATTGACTGGAAGCTTCTTCTCGGGACGTCATCAGGGGTTCTATTTCATCGCCGAATATTTTTCTCCTCATGAGCAAAATCTGGGGCGACAGCAAGACCGGCAAAACACAAAGGAAAAAGGTATCGTTACATCAGAGCAATTCCTGGATCAGTGGCACCATGTAATGTCACATGTCACGTCACCATGTAGAAGTGAAACAGAGGAAACTATTGCACTATTTCGAACTTCGTTGAATTGAACTCCAAATCAGAACTCGTCCTTGAACTCGTTGAAAATAATGAAATCAATCAACAATCTGACCAGTGATGAGGTGACCAATCAGTCGAAAGACACCATATTTTTTATTAATGAAACCTCATTCCAAAAAATCATTCATTCATTCATGAAATAAAATAAGTAAGAAACTCGATCGCAGCAGTGCAGGGCCAATGGGACCACATTCCAAAATGAAGCGTGAAACGACAAAGAACATGATAGTCAGAATGGGTTCGGTGGTGAATACAAATCAATTGAGGAGACAAAAAAAAATTGGGCATCACAATAGGCACATCCATTTTCCCAAAATACATTTAATATCAAATAAGAAAACAACTAAGATAATGGTACAGGAATGATAACATAACATAAAACACACCAGAAGAAAACACCAAATGAAGAAGGCAAGAAAAACCACAGTCAAAACACGTGCATGCATCACTAGACAATTTGCAGAGTTATAAAGGTGTTGTGGAATAGCACAGAGTCAAACCGAAGGTTCACGTGACAATGAAGCCAATAAGGGTCTAAGGGCTGCTATATGATGTCCAGGAGACTTGAAACAGCCATCAGGAAGGTCGAAAAGAAGGACAAAGGAACCTCACTGGTCTCAAAGGAAACAGGACTACTGTCATAAAAGAGAGGTCTTCTCAGAATTGAAGGTAAAGGAGAGGTCAACTGCATGAAAGATGAGAAGCGTAGCATAGCATGACAAAGCTCTCCATCACTCAATCTACAAAAAAAAAGATGAAAAATACAATGAAAGAATACATGAAAACAAAATGGGGAAATAATATAAAAGAGGAAAAAAAAGGAAGATAATTTACTGTAAAACGTACAGGATGCTGGTGATGACTTGAATGATGAAGCCTCCAGGCGGGGGTCGACGTCTCTCTCCATCACTTGATCTTTATGAGAAAATACATCATGGGTGAGAATGCATGAATTGACAAATGGAAACTAATAAAAAAAAAGTGCAGAAATTACTGTAGAGCTTCTGGGATGCTGGTGACCTAAGAAATGTTGATGCCTCCAAGCGTCGGACGACTTCTCTCTCCATCACTTGATCTGTGAGAAACAATACAGCAAGGGTGGGAACACATCAAACAAAACGTGGATATAATAAAAAAAAGAGGTAAATTTACTGTAGAGCTTCTTGCATGCTGGTCACCTAAGAATTGTTGAGGCCTCCAGGCGTTGAATGCATCTCTCTCCATCTCCTGATCCTTCTAAAAACTTAAAACTCAAGACACCAATATTAGTGAATGAACATAACAAAACAAAGAGAACATGCACTGTGCTAAATAAAAGAGGAAAGAATGATCATTAAAACATACAAAAAAACAAATGAAATTATAACATAAAAGAAATAGAAACGCAAGAAAACTCAAGCCTAATAGTAAAGAATGTGCCTCTGTTCCCAAAATTATTTAAAATAGCAAAAAAACTTAAAATATAGCAAGTTAAATAAAAGATATAGTAAAACAATACATTAAATCAAAAAGGTAAATATTAAAATGCAAAAGAAAGGGGAAAAAGGAGGGCAAGTTACTGAAGTACTTTCCTGGAGGGTGGTGATGTCTTCTTTGGTGAGTCCTCCAGGCCGGGTGTCTTCCTCCATCGCTTGATCCTACTAGAAACTTAAAACTCAAAACGAAAATTAGTTCAACATCAGAAATTCAAATGAACACATTACATCACAAATACAGTAAAACAGTACATGAAATCAAAAAGGTAAATATTAAAATGCAAAAGAAAGGGAAAAAAGGAGGGCAAGTTACTGAAGTACTTTCCTGGAGGGTGGTGATGTCTTCTTTGATGAGTCCTCCAGGCCAGGTGTCTTCCTCCATCGATTGATCCTACTAGAAACTTAAAACTCAAAACGAAAATTAGTGAATAAATGGAAACAAAAACAAAGAGAACATGCATTGTGCTAAAGAAGGATGGATTGAGAAAGAAGGATGATTAACACAAAACACAAAAAATGCAATAAATTGTTCACTTTAAGCAGAAGACGAGAAATAAGTTTCTTAAAACATTAACCTAAATGGGAACAGAGGCACAATTTAACTTGAAATTAAACATTAATTTAAAATTATAGACAGAAACGATAGGAAAAATGACCTGAATGAAAACAACACATTTAATAGCAAAAGAAGGTATTAGCTGGAAGCAGAGGACAAGAAATAAATTCCTATAACATTTCCCTAAATGGGAACAGAGGCACAGCTGAACGTATCTTATTTGAAATTGACGTTAATTAAGCAAAATTCTTACTGAGGCACATACTGGACATGAAATGTTTTTAGCTCAAAATACAAATACAGCACATCACAAATTCCTCAATACAAAAGGCTACCATAGGACTTTCAAAAGGATATAAAACTTAGTTCCTGGAGATCTTTGAGATTGGAGCAGTGCGGTGCAGGTCTGTGGTCCTCTGTAGCGTCCTCTTCTTCGTTTCGCCGCCCCCTCTGTCCGGATACTCTAAGACGAGGAAAATTCATAAACCTTTAGTACATACCCAATACTGTTAAACGCACAAATAAAATAATAGTGGAGCGTTGACTTACAGGCTGGAGATGCAACGGTTGATGGAAGAAGACTGAAGGGGAGAAACCAGTAAATCGCTTGAGGCGGAAGAGGGTGCCTTGCGCGCGCGAGGCCGTTGCGCATTCTCTGTTCTCCGCCCGTGGCTGCTGGTCCTTCCGATTGGCAAGGTTAGAGGGTAAGGACTTCCAGAATCGAAGGCTGCTTGACGACAGGGAGAGTTCCGAGTCGACTCCCCCAACGACCGCCCTCAGCGACGCCCTCAGATCTCTCGCTGATAAGACACCAGCCTCTTGTCACTAACATCGCTTAAGAAAGAGTGTTTGCCAGAACGGTGCCTGCCTTCGCGACAGAGACCAGCGCCTCGTGAACCCAAACGTTTCAGTTGCCAATGATTGCCTTGGGTTTTCCGGGGCCTCATCACAATATGGAAAGATGCAATTTCAGCAGTGGCTGATGGAATAGCTGCTCTTCGCGCCGGGTAAACTTTCCTTCGGCACTTTCATTTTGTTTGCTTGTAAAAAAAAAAATACAAAGGCAGACGGTATTGCATCAGCCATTCAACCTGTCTCATATTAAGCCACGCACATGGCGAGTGAGCCGTCTTCTCCCTGTTTGTGTCAAAAGAATGTCGTAGAATTCGTTGCGGGAATAAATTCATTCCTACGTGTTCGATCCTGCCATCTCCGTCCGTCTCGATGAACTGGATCGTGTAACGAAATGACGCCAACGTCACCGGAGAGCTTTGCCGCTCGACGAGATTCGCATAAGCTTGCCGATGTCGGTACGGTTCACATTCGCACGCACGGCCGTAAACGTCTCGCGTTGGCCCCTCATCACCCGACCCGACAGAACTCGATTGGAACGACCATGTCCGGTCATATTGGCTTGGGACAGGCCGCCTGTGCCTTGAAAATTCCCTCTTAAACTTCTAAGGACACGTGACACGTGCNGTCCGGTCATATTGGCTTGGGACAGGCCGCCTGTGCCTTGAAAATTCCCTCTTAAACTTCTAAGGACACGTGACACGTGCATGCGCCTAATGCCCCTCCCGCTTCACCCCTCCCCGTATAGGCGGAGGCAAGTCCCCTACGTGCGGAGAGACGCGACGGTCTGGCGCTGCCAATCTACCCAAAGGCAAGGATGGATGGGCGACTAGGGACAGGCTCACGCTCGGCTATGCTCTCCGTTGGCAACCTTGGCCTCCCAGTCCGGGGAGGCATCCGGTTCTCGCGGGGTATCCCGTCCGGGAGAGCATCCGGGAGAGTACTTTTTAGATCTCGTTACAACGAAATTCGTTACTCCGAATAATTCTGTACAACGAACGCTTTTATCCCAGTCCTTGCACTTATGATAGTCACCCGTTACAAAGAGAAAAACATCGTTTACGAAGAGACAATCGTCTGCGGTTTCCCTCCTTCCCTTAGGACAGGGGGGTCAAACTCGATTAAGCTGGGGGCCGGATGGAACCCTTCGGGGGTGGTTGGGGGCCACACTAACAAATTTTCAACCGAATTTCGAATGCAAACTGGTTGAAATCTCGACGCTTTTCCGAAACCAACCAGTAAAGTGGACTTCGCGGGCCGGACGAAATGAACTAAAGGGCCGGATCCGGCCCGCCGGCCGCCGGTTTGACCTCGAGAGAGTCCTGTTCCCCACGCATATGGCATGAAAAGCGTTTGCTCAAGGAGGAAGGCACAGTAGTCGATATTTGTGGCCGGGAACCTCATTGACAAGATGAAAGTCGTGGAAGCAGTCGGTTGGGTAAAAAAAAAAAGGAGACGTGGCGAAAGGAAATTCGGTATCGCTTCATTTGTTATACGTTATTCGTTATTACACGTTTTCGAAGGCATAGCCAACTTGAATGGAGAAAGTGTTTTTTTTTTTGTTTCCTTTTGAACTCATTTCGAGCAATATTCGATACAACCCGCATTTCACCCGACTGCGACCTGTCTCTCTCACGGACCGACTCTCTCCCGGTCGGTCCCGCCCCACCTTGTGCAACGAGTTCCCGCGAACCGCCGCGACGTTTCGCTACGGATCTCGCCGGCACCGTGACGATTGGAGTCGGATCGCGATTCACTGATCGTGATCGTCATGGCGGACTCGACTCGCTCGATCTTCCAAGCTCTCGCGACGTCGGATCGATTTTCACGGATTCCAAGCAACGAGTCGAGTCGTAACACGGACGAGACCCCGAATGTCGTCCGAAGGCGGACGCAAAGAGATGTCACAACGACGAACGAACCGCACTCACATCTGATGGATCCGCCTTCCCATCACTTCGCGACACATTTTCCTCCTCCTCAGGCCCATACGACCAGAAACGTTTCGAGCTCCGTGTCGCCACGAGGGAAGCAACGGTCTGGAGGGCGCGTGCGGCCTGGGAGGCACTGACGGGCCTTCGCTGCTTCGCCCCGAGGGTGGGAAGCGAGACCCGGATTCTCTCACTAAATGAAAATGTAGACTGTCGTTGGCGGCCGAAGAAAAAAAAACTGATTGGGCCTATGGCTTCACTGAATTCAATGTAAAAAATGCACCTCATCCTTTTTTTTCTCCTATCGACGAATCGCGGATGATGAAAACGCCCCCCCCCCCCCCCCCCCCCCCCCCCCCCCCCTTGGTTAGTTGCTTCAACGCTCAAATAAAAGGCGTTGAGATGGAATACTCCTTTGGGAGACTGTTTACCATGAGCAGCCCTGCAAAAAAGGCACACCTCTCCCACCACGAAAAATCGGACTAAAACACACACAATCGAGGTCCCACCGAGACTCGAACTCGGATCGCTGGATTCAAAGTCCAACGTGCTAACCATTACACCATGGGACCTTCCACAGCAGATCTCTCGGGTTTTCCATCCGCTGAACCTGTAATTTATCTGCTATGGCACTCTCGGACTTTAAATCCGAGTAGGACTTTAAAACGCACGAAAATTCTGTCAGGCGGTCAGGAATTCCCATCCGTTCCAGAAATTTATTTATTTATTTATAAATCATCAGATTCAAGTACGTTGTCGTTTCTTTCCGGTCAACGGGGGAGGCCCGAAAATGTCGAATGTGCAAGGTTGCCTGCGCTGAAGCAATTTTAATCTTAGTAAATTTTTGGAAAGACTTGCGACGAAGGACAAGCAAACCCTGATTTTACATTTCCAAAATTTTTTTTTTTTTCGGGAAGAGGAATGACCCGCCGATTCATGTCGCTCTTCCTGCCCAACTTCCGAATCTCGCTGTACGAGATAAATCGGTAAAAAAAAAAAATCTGTAATTCCCGTTGTATGACTTGGTTGTCACGGCGACGGGCGACATAAATGGATGCGCCTTCAGTGGATCTCTGAATTTTCTTTCTTGTTCGTTGCGAAGTCATGCAAAAATAAGTTTGGCACGCGCTTTTATTCGCTTCCAGTGTCCAAGTTAAATTGGCGGGAAACTTCTTTCATGAAAATTCTTTATTTGTACTCACATTATAGTTTTTTCTGCGCTTTCTTTTTCCCCAAAGCAATCGCTGATGAATCCAATGCTGATGAAGTATCAGTAACGGATGTTCACCGAGAATCTATTCAGTTTTCCGGACTCCAGCGAGACCTGAGAAATGTAAGTTAAAAGTCGGTATACCTTTTTTTCCGGCATGTCTTTATGTTAGACGGCGATAACGCAATTTTGGTCTGGGATTTTCGATTTCTCGAGCTGTAAAATTCGCCAATTTTAAGCCTTTTTCGGTGTCGTCCAGCGGTTTTTAATGGTCGCGACGAACCGAAGCTCCACTCGAAGAAAATTTGAAGTTCGGTTCCTATTTTTTTTTTTCCATCCAGGGCGACATCGAAGGAGAGCGCTGGGTTCATTCCCCTCACGCCTTTCTCTCCCTTGAATGGATGAGAGGAAAAAAAGAAGAGAGCTTTACGAACCTCATCCAGTGGCGTGACCCCCATCTGTACTGACATCTGACATCCACATCAACGACAAGGAAGGTCCCATGGTGTAATGGTCAGCACACTGGACTCTGAATCCAGCGATCCGAGTTCGAGTCTCGGTGGGACCTTGCGAATCGCGGGTTTCGTTTTGCTTTTATTTTTTCGACAACTGCGCTTAATTTTTCCCGACGTTGGTGCGCAGGGTTGGGTTGCCCTTTTGCAAGACTGCAAATGGAGCTGTGATTGATCTTCGTCATAAGTCGTCTCGCAAAGGATGTACCTACCCTATTCCAAGAAGCTCCTGCCAAAAATATGGGAATAAAGGCACCTAACGACAAAAACAGGAAACAAGGTAAGGTCCCACCGAGACTCGAACTCGGATCGCTGGATTCAAAGCCCAGTGTGCTAACCATTACACCATGGGACCTTCTCTATGTAAAATCTAATGATGCTGTATAACAGGCTGGGTGTTATATAGTACTCATTTATTGCCAATTTCATGGGGCAGGGGTGAGGGTGAACTTGGCCCATGACCCGAAGCCTCAACTTACGTGGCTTACGTGATTTGAAAATAACGTTGTGATCATCTTCAAAAGACTCTCAGAAGCCATCTGTGCACCAAAAAGTGAAGTTCTTGTTGTTGGAAGCCGCAGATCCTTTGCTTAAAATAGCACTATTTTGTGGGCGTTCCTGACTTGTCCGTATGTGGGTGCTGTTACTTACATTCTGACTCCAATTATGATGGTAGTACGGGTGAGATCTGTAATGAAATACGAGATGGTTCAACCACAGGATCAAGAATATATTAAGATGACAAAGACAACTGACCAGAGAGGTAGAAGGGTTCACCGGGGTGACAGAGAAAAGGACATCCACACGTATAGACGCGGAACCACTCAATAGAACTGAATGAGTCCTGAGTCTCAGGCCGTCGAAGATGTCCCCCTCCCCCCCACAAGGAAGGGGCAGTCTCTCGGAGGTGGGAGACGGAGAGGAGGAGGTGACTCCTCCCCCTCATATCTGGTGGCCACCCCCTTAGGTCCACAATGGCTTAGTCGTCATCACAAGCTACCGTCGATGAGAGAGCGGTTTGAAATGTTCCAACTTTTGACTTTTCGGTTCCTGGACAGGAAGGGCCAAGATTATAGTTCAAAACATTCACTTTCCCCC